TATTTCCTTATGATAATAATAAATATAAATAAGATATTTTAAAGCAAGCCTTTTATTAAGATATCGTTCGACAAGAAGGTCGCTATTCCTTGTTAGTATGGGGACAACTGCGTCAAGGGGTGTTTTTAATATGATTTTAGGCTGTACATTTTTAACAATATATTTTGGTCATAAAATCAAGGTTAAGCAAAACACACGTGGTCAGTCTATTCTATATTATACATACGAGGATACCCCAAGATGAAATCCAGGCTACAAAATACATGAAAACAATGGTCAACGGCTTCGCCACAAACATTGATAGATAAAGCCCGTATACGCCGGATAAATGCACCATGGTTAATGAGATTACATTACGCCATACCAGTTGCCGTTTTAACTGTTTGCTTGATGTTATCTCGACGGATTTTATCTCATTTGTCATTTTTAACATTTATGTTATTTATTAATTTTCTTAATGGTATAATGATACATGTATCTTTATCCTAAGTAAAATTATGTTTTATATTAGTTATTGAGATAAATAACAAATTAATAATTGAAATAAATTACCTGGAGCAATGCAATTTTTATATAAGTATTAGACAATTGTAAATCAATAGTGTTTAATAAAAGGCTTGCTTTAAAATATCTTATTTATATTTATTATTATCATAAGGAAATAATATTTGTAATTATGAAAATTAAATTTCAATAAATTAGATATTTATTTGTTAATATCGTTTTAGAAAATAAATATTTATAAACCTAATCAAGTTTTAATATTTTGTATTAGCATATAATTGTTTATTAGTTTTTATTAATATTTAATTTATAAAATTAACGTTAAATTGTAATATCTTATTAATATGCATAATTAATTTTATTCTAGAAATAATATTTGAAAAAATATAAAATCAAACAACAAATTACTTAAAAATTTAACTAAAAACCACAAATATACTTATTTTAGAAAAACAAAGGTTTGTTTATAAATACTAAAATTAACATGGGCACATTAATTAAAATTACAACTAATAGTATCATTTATTATACTTTATCTTTATTATGCGATTGAACATATAAATGTAAAACATGTAAAAGAATACATTGTCATATTAAGTAAAATAGCAACTAGCAATATAAATTATTGCACTTTATTTTTATTATAAGAGTTACCATAAAAGCGGTAAAACATATAAAAGAATATAAACGGCTGCCAAATGACCAACCATTGCAATGCTATGGGATAATCGGTTTGTAGACCATAATATAAACCAATAAGTATAGCCACACCATAGATGACAAACTGTAATAACTGTATTCGTGTTATGTATCGCTTCCACCATAAGTAGGGCTGAATCCGGGGTCCAAATGCCGACAACAGATAATAGGTATACATAACGGTATGCACTATAGAGTTGACAAAACAAACCACGTCGACCATAATGGTTTGCGGACATAGTTTTATTGCCATATATCCAATCACAGGGACTGCAAAATAATTACATATTAAATAAATGTTACACCACAAGTAGTTTTAAAACCTAGTTTTATAAAATACTTATAAAATGATGGTAAACGTGAAGAAATGTGATTTGATTAGACTTTTTCCGCAACACAAAGAATATGGTATCGAATAAATCAATTAGTTTTGTGTAAAAGTAGATTATTTTATCGGGTAATTCAGCGACCGCTTTATCCGACCACTGGTTACGGGCCGGCAGTCCATCGAACCAGGGCTTGAAGCCATAGTCGAGCCATTTGGCCGCCGTGTATGCAAAATAAACATTAATTACAACCAACATTAAATTATATATCATAAGTGTTTTGCGCAAAACAAACGGTTTTCTGTCAGCCATTAAATTTGGGCCCAATTTTACAACAAATATTAGCCATAATAACATTAGGGTTACAAATAGCTCCGGTCCGCCCCCTACCAGAAAATATGGTTTAATTTTGTCGTCCGTCTCGTCGACCCAATACTGGCGTAATATATAATGCATTTTATCCGTATATGTCGTCCAATTATTTGCCATCATTATTTAAATAATAATTTTAACTTCAATTGTGATTATATTTTGTGCGTTTGACTCAAGTCAAGTCATGCTAAGAATCTTTGAATTGCTTAATTAATTACCTAGTTCAGTTTGAAAGTTTAAATAATTATTTATGCAAAAATTTTTATATTGTTAACAATAAAGTTTTTATAAATAAATAATTTTATTAATTTTTTAAAATTTATTTCTTTATTAGAGAGAGAGAGAGAGAGAGAGA